TCTCTACATTTGGCTCCTAGGAAAAGTGTCACCAAGGGCTGTGGGTGCAGATTTCTCATTATCCCCTAAGTGTGAACATTTTTTCCCTCTAAAGTGTATGGCCATTACCCTATTACAGATCAACATGTTCTATCGCTCGAATGACGGCAATAATCTAACTGGGTTCCCTGGGGCTGTGGAGGACTGCAAGAGGCTGCCCAGTGTACCCCTCCCTCACCATCCCCAACAGCCCTCACCTTCTGGTCTACAAAACTCTTAAAAACATTTCAAGAGTGTTACTCTGGAAAGGCACCAACTATTAGCTTTGGGTTCTTCACACAGCCCTGTTTGGGCTGTTTCAGGTGTCCCAGCTTGGTGCTTCTGTTAGCCTCTGGGTCTGAAGACAGTGGGATGATCTTAAAGGAGTCTCTGGAGATATCCCCTCACCAGGAAGCATCTACTGATGGACTTACTGTCCCTGCCCTAACACTGTGGCTCTCTCCTCCTGCCTGTGGCACAGTGTTTGCCACACAGTGTGATGACGTTCTGCTCTAGACTCAGGACCTGCAGGATGTTGGAGTGGGGCAGTGGAATGTCACTGCACGATCCACCACGGCAGCCGGCTGGAGAGTCACTCAACAGAATAAAATGAATGAATGAATGAATGAATGAATGAGCCAGTGACTGAATGAATTGGTGCTTGGTCACCGTGGGAATGAACTTCTTTTCCCTTAATGTGCTATCATCGTTTTTCTTTTTTCCTTTTTTTTTTTTTTTTTCTGGGACGGAGTTTCGCCCAGGCTTGAGTGCAATGGTGCAAGCTCGGCTCACTGCAACCTCCGCCTCCTGGGTTCAAGTGATTCTCCTTCCTCAGCCTCTGAGTAGCTGAAATTATAGGTGCCTGCTACCACACCTGGCTAATTTTTATATTTTTAGTAGAGATGGGGTTTCACCATGTTGGTCAGGCTGGTCTCGATCTCCTGACCTTGTGATCCACCTGCCTCAGCCTCCCAAAGTGCTGGGATTAAAGGAGTGAGCCACTGCGCCTGGCCTTATTTTTTCTTTTATTTTTTTTTAATTTAATTTTTTTTGAGACAGTCTCACTTTAGCACCCAGACTGGAGTGCAGTGGTGCAGTCTTGGCTCACTGCAATCTCCACCTCCTGGGTTCAAGCAATTCTCCTGCCTCAGCCTCCTAAGTAGTTGGGATTACAGGTGCACGCCACCACACCTGGCTAAGTTTTGTATTTTTTTCTGTAGAGATGGGGTTTCACCATGTTGGCCTTGCTGGTCTCAAACTCCTGAGCTCAAGCAATCCTCCCACCTCAGCCTCCCAGAGTGCTGGGATTACAGGTATTAGCCACCACACCCAGCCGTGCTATCATTTTTTGATGGTACCAGTCAGGACTGTTAATAACTAGAATTCTCTCCTGGCCCATGGACACTGTGGAGGTTCAGGTACAAGCCTAAGTTCAATTCAGATCTTTATTCAATTAAATAAAAATTATTTGGCATTATTATTATCAGAAATACAGATGTATTTCCTGCCTTCAAGAAGCAGACAGGGAAGACGGACCCCCCTTACAGAAACAAAGCCGTAACGGTGATACAGACAGGGAAGAAGGCAATGATGCCATGAGAGAAGTTAAAATCAATAGCTTCTAAAGTAAGAATAAGAAATTAATCTCGGCCGGGCGCAGTGGCTCAAGCCTGTAATCCCAGCACTTTGGGAGGCCGAGGCGGGCGGATCACGAGGTCAGGAGATCGAGACCATCCTGGCTAACACGGTGAAACCCCGTCTCTACTAAAAAATACAAAAAACTAGCCGGGCGAGGTGGCGGGTGCCTGTAGTCCCAGCTACTCAGGAGGCTGAGGCAGGAGAATGGTGTAAACCCGGGAGGCGGAGCTTGCAGTGAGCTGAGATCCGGCCACTGCACTCCAGCCTGGGCACAAAGCGAGACTCTGTCTCAACAACAACAACAAAATAATAATAAATTAATCTCAGCTGGGAGGATGTAGGAAGACCTCTCAGAATGGATCTAATTTATTTTTAAAAACTATGGCCGGGCATGGTGGCTCACGCCTGTAATCCCAGCACTTTGGGAGGCCGAGGCGGGCGGATCACGAGGTCAGGAGATCGAGACCATCCTGGCTAACACGGTGAAACCCCGTCTCTACTAAAAAATACAAAAAACTAGCCGGGCGAGGTGGCGGGTGCCTGTAGTCCCAGCTACTCAGGAGGCTGAGGCAGGAGAATGGTGTAAACCCGGGAGGCGGAGCTTGCAGTGAGCTGAGATCCGGCCACTGCACTCCAGCCTGGGCACAAAGCGAGACTCTGTCTCAACAACAACAACAAAATAATAATAAATTAATCTCAGCTGGGAGGATGTAGGAAGACCTCTCAGAATGGATCTAATTTATTTTTAAAAACTATGGCCGGGCATGGTGGCTCACGCCTGTAATCCCAGCACTTTGGGAGGCTAAGGCAGGCAGATCACGAGGTCAGGAGTTTGAGACCAGCTCTGACCAACATGGCAAAACCACGTCTCTACTAAAAATACAAAAATTAGCCGGGCGTGGTGGCAGGCACCTGTAATCCCAGCTACTCAGGTGGCTGAGGCAGGAGAATTGCTTGAACCCGAGAGGCGGAGGTTGCAGTGAGCCGAGGCCACGCCACTGCACTCCAGCCTGGTGGACAGAGCGAGACTCCATCTCAAAACAAAAACAAAAACAAAAAACCCGAAATTATTTATTATGGAAAAATTCAAACACATGCGAAAGTAGAGAGAATAGGATGATGAACCCAAGGTACCAGTTGGCCAGCTTCAAAGTTATCAACATTTTGCTCAAGCTCTTATTCCCCGTATTTTAAAAATATAACCACAGTACCTGATCAGAGCTAAAACAAATATGGCCGCACACCTTTAATCCCAACACTTTGGGAGGCTGAGGCGGACAGATCACCTGAGGCCAGGAGTTCAAGACCAGCCCGGCCAATATGGTGAAACCCCTGTCTCTACTAAAAATACAAAAATTAGCTGGGCATGGTGGCGGACACCTGTAATCCCAGCTACTCAGGAGGCTAAGGCAGGAGAATCACTTGAACCCAGGAGGTGCAACCCTGGTAACTCACACACAGGTCCGGTTCCATCCACAGCAAAGCTGGATGCTGTGGTTGGCAGAGCCAAGCCCTTTGCCTGCACTTCAGGCCAAAGCCGGGATGTGACCTAGATGGTTCCTAAGGTCCCTGACAATCCTGAGATCTTGCATCCTGTCTCTTTCAGGTCAAAGGTGCCTACATGTTCCTTCTAGCTTTGTTCCCCTGATGTTCCTTGCCACCTGCTACTCCTCTCTGAGCTACTTTTCCAGGTTCCACAGGGAGAGGTTCAGCCTTCCGTGGTAGACATGAGGGCAGAGAATGAGGTGGTTGGTTTCCACTTACCTTTCTATCTTCTTGCAGTATGGCTGTCTCTTGACTGGTACCATGTAGACTTTTGAGGGCAGACAGGAGTCTGTGGAGAGATACTGGGGACGTTGAGCAACAGCAGTGGGGGTGGGAGGCAGAAATGAGGACAAGAACATTCACCTGGTGTTTCTCTCAGCTTCTCAGATGACCAAGGTGGTGCTGCAGATGGTGCTGAGGAAGGAGAACCCACCAAGCCCCGCTAGGAGCCACCTAGACCGGATGCAGAGCATGGTGAGCTCCCTGTAGGTTCTCTGAGAAGGGGTGGATGGCAGCCTGCTCCTTGCCTTTGTGGCCTCCAGACCCCAAAGTCAGGGAACCAAAGGGAGAAAGGGGCTGTATCTAGGGCAGAGCTCCACTGCAATGATTGTTGTAGGGGTAGGAGCCAGGATTGCTCTCTGTGGACACTGAAATTTGAATCTCGTATATTTTTCATGTGTCACAAAACATTATTCCTTCTTTTGTTCTTTTCCTACCATCTAAAAATGTAGAAAACATTCTTAGCCTATGAGTTGCACAAAAACAGGCAGTGGCCAGATTTGGCCCATAGACCGTAGTTGGCTGACCTCCTGCCCTAAGTCATCCTCCATTCTCTTCTTTCCTTCTGTGTCCTTGTTACTGACAAAGCCACTTCCCCTAAAATGGGGTCTTTCCCTGTTTGGTGCCATGAAGCCAATATGCAAAACCCAAACTGAGCCTCAAGCAGTGCAGGCTTTATTTGGTGCCATGGAATTGAGAAGTGAGAGCTTGGCTCACAAATCAACTTTTCTGCTCGTGAGACCCAGGAAGTCACAGATATAGGGCACCTTTAGTGAAGGGGCTGAGCATGAAAAGCAAGGGGAGGAGAGGCCAGGAGCAATGGCTCACTCCCATAACCCAGAACAAGATGAGAGGATTGCCGAGACCAGGAGTTCGAGACCATCCTGGTTAACATAGTGATACTCCCCGTCTCTACAAAAACAAAAATGAAAAAAGCAAGGGGAGGAATCATGTGTTTTCTGGGTCTGGGTGGAGAACTTTTCAAAACCAGAGTGCCAACTTCCTATTTGTTTTTTGTTTTTTTTTTTTAATCATTGTCATGGTGGTTGTTGACTGTTACAGTGTTAGTGGGACTGTCATTTAGCATGGACATTAGATTATAATGAAGTTAAAGGTCAAGTGAGCTGCCATCTTGGAGTCCATCAGTCTTAGCTGGTTTGATCACCAGGGAGAAGTTCGGACCTCAGGTATCCTGTTTCCTAAAGATAAACAGAGTTAAGGCAGGGTAGGTATTCACGGAGGTCATGTGGGCATTACACTGGATGACATCTTGGCTTCAGCCCTGATCTGTCCAGTGCCCTCAACCCAGTACTGGAGGAGAGCCCTGGGCTGCATCATGGCATACTGTGGCTTTGGGCAGAAAGAAAAGCAGATAGTGCGATGGAAAGAGCATGGGCTTGAGAGTCAGACTTGACTTCAACTCCTAGCTCTACTACTTACCAC